CAAAATCCATATAGAGTTTACTAGAAATTAAGCCAGACATAATTTTTTATGCTATCGTGTAATACCTTTTATTGGAATAGTCTGCCAGATTTTGTCGTTACTTTAAAGACAGTTGACCAATTCAAAAATAATTATATATATATATATATATATATATATATATATATATATATATATATATATATATATATATATATATATATATATATATATATATATATATATATATATATATATATATATATATATATATATATATATATATATATATATATATATATATATATATATATATATATATATGGTAATCCTGCAGTTAAGCGGCGTAAAATAATTTATATTTTTCCGCTTGTTGCGATCTCATGAAGAGACTTGCTTAAAGTGGTGACTTTTCAATATAAACATGAATATTTAATTATCAATTAATAGTTCTAATGTTTAAAAAACTTTCACTGACAAGAATGCAAAAGCAAAAAAATAAAATTATTTTTCACAACTTAACTGCAGGATTACCATATATATATATATATATATATATATATATATATATATATATATATATATATATATATATATATATATATATATATATATATATATATATATATATATATATATATATATATATATATATATATACGGACAAAAATTTATAATGAACCAATATATTTATTAGAAAATAACTCGGTAAATAATTAACTGTCAAAAAAATTAACTGCCAATCAAAATAATTAACTATCAAAAAAATTAATAATAATGTTAAACTGACAGTAAAATTAAATAGATAAGTTTATAGCATATTGTGAAGTCTGTTTGTTAAGTGGGAAACTTTCCCATTTAATGTGGAGGGCTTCTTTTATCTTTAATTTGCGTTTGGTTGCTTTAATTTGCATTATCCAAAATCTCAAAAGAATTACAGTTAGCCAGATTTTTGCAGTTAACAGATAAATTTAAGTGTTTAAATATATTAGATTGTTTATTACTTTTAAGGTGCTCATTTATTCTAGTTGCCAAATGTCTGGAGGTTTCTCCAATACAACTGGCATTACAGCCAGTGCAAGAAAGTTTATAGACAACATAAGATTTAAGCAATTTAGGAAGTGACTCTTTTAAGCAAAAACAATCTTGTATTTTATTAGTAGTGAAAATTAATTTTATTAAAACATCCTTGTAATATTTATGAACAATTTTTGAAATTTTCATTAATTTAGTATAATTAATATAATTAGAAACAATTAGTATAATTAGAGTAAATTCCAATATATGGAAGCTTAAAGTATCATATATTTAAGCTATTTGCAATATTAGAAACAGATGGGTTCATTTTCTTATCAATATAGGATTTAATTTCAGAGTCAATAATTTTTTGTGGAAATTTATTATTTAGTAAAAGTAATGATAGATTCTTAATATCTTTATCAAAACCAACCCAAGTATTATTAATTTTAAATGTACGATCAACCAAACAACGAACAAGTCCAAATTTGTAATAAGAAGAAATAAAACTTTTGTAAAAGACCTGTATATGTTTTTTTGCGATAAACTGAAGTCAATAATGAATTGGATTTTTTAATAAGTACATCTAAAAAGACAATCTGGTTATCTTGTTCTTTTTCCATAGTAAATTTCAAAATTTTATGTTGTTTATTGAGGTGTTTGAAAAATTCTTGAGCTTCATATTCAGAATTAAAAATGGCAATTATATCATCCACATACCGTTTATAAAATAACAATGCTGTAAAGGAGTAGTTATTGATCAATGTTTGTTCATGAAATCCGACAAAAATATTAGCTAAGATGGGCGATAAAGGAGAACCCATAGCATCACCATCCGTTTGATCGTAATTTTTTCCGTCAAATAAAAAATGTGAACCGAATGTGGAAATCTGAAGTAATTTTTTAAACTGAATTTTTGAAAAACGTTTTGAGTTGATTTTATCTTTAAAAAATAAATCAGTTGCTATGATAACGGTTTTCTTAAGTGGAATATTCGTGAACAAGCTTTCAACATCATATGAAACGATAAATTTATTAGTTCCATTAATTTGTTTTAATTCTTTAACAAAAGAGTCTAAAGTGCAAAATTGTTTAGGTATATGAGGAGACAATAAATGAGAAAGATGTTTAACAAAATTGTAATTATATGTTCCAATTGTTGAGATGATAGGTCAAAACGTTGGAAGAGAACTATCTTTACTAACTTTATGCATTTTAGGTAACGCGTAAATTCTTGCAGGTTGAGATCCTACAGGATAGATTTTAGTTAAAAATTTAAGAATATTAACAATCAATTTTGTCATTATATTTTTTTGAAACAATCTCTTTTCTTCCTGAAAAATTATAATTTCACTTTCTGCAAGTTTACATATGTGAATTACGTCTTTAGATGATTGAACCAAACAGACTTTAGCACTCCTTAATTTTTTTTCGTTATTAAAGTTAAAGTTGGGGTCTTTGATTGAATTAAGGTTAAACAAATGTCACAATCTAAAACCTTTTTAACTTTTTTTACAACAAATCCAGCAATATATTCGACAACATCAGACACATATATAGATAATTTTCTTAAATAACTTATGTTGTTTAGAGCATATGCATGGTCATCAGAAATTTCCATTTCAAAATCCTCAATGATGATCAGTTGTTTTCACACTTAAATGTCCCCTCCATTGTTAGCACATTTAAGTGTGACTAAATATTCTATTGACTCTTTTATTTTTTTGAAAATAGTTTCTTTATTTTGTTTTAAACTAGCTTTAAACTTTTCAGCTAATAAATTCCTGCTATTAAAATGTCAAAAATGTTATTAATATTATAGATAAATTTTTCTGTTGTTTTGCTGTCTTCAAAATCCTTAGAGTACTGACTTTCTCTTAAATATTCTATTGCTTTTGCAATTTTTTGACAAAATGTTTGTGCAGCCAACTTGACCTTCTTTTTTTCTTGAAACCAATTTATGTCTTTTTGTAAGTTTTGTTGCTAAATGCAGCCCTTCTTTTTCTTGAATAGCTACTAATTTTTTAATATAATTCCATTTTATTGGTTCATTATTAGAATCAAACATTATTTTGTGCAAACTAAATGTATTTCTTATCAGCTTTAGCATGTGTAGAGGATTCATTATAATGTAAACTGGCTTTTTTGTAATTGGATGAGAAAGGTATGAGCAAGTAGAGTTAAAAGATAAATCAGCTCCAAGATGATTAGCCATACTAATATTAGACAAAACACCATCAAAAGTCAAACTTGTTATAGTAATTTCAACTTTGCCTAATATTTTAAAAGTAGCCGATTGGTAATTTCCACGAATCATATAAACTATTGAGGAAGCATTTTAGTAGGGGAGAACTTGCACCCTTGATACGTAGGCACCTTTGATCCTATAGCGTTATCTCCATACTTACATAACTTATTAAAGAGGGCTGATAACCAGCGTGTTATAAATATTGTATCTTCAAAGTTAATTGTCTTTTGGTTAGAGAATAGTCCACTATTGAATTTGTTTCTAAATAGTTTGATTTTGACGACAAAAAGTAATTTTTTTACTTTTACAAGGAACCTCACATCTTTAATATTTTTTTAAGTTGAATAATTTTGCTTATGTCATTTTGTAATTTAACTATTCACTTCTTGTATGGTTGCTTTTGGTAAGCTATAGAAGCATCTAATATGGAAAAAAAATTTTTTTTGTAAAAATGGAGCAGGTTAGCACCCTTGATCCTAATGCGTTTATGTACCTTTGATCCTATGATCAAAGGTGCATACACACACACACACACACACACACAAAATGTTTAACTTTTAAAGTAACATGTACAATACGTCATATTGTTTTTAAATATGTTTTTTTCTTCTAAAATAAAGCCTTAAAATGAAGATTTTATACTATTTTGTATTTTTTTGTTCTCCTAAAACTTTTATATAATATCTATATTATATAAAACTTTTATATAGTATACACATATATATATATATATATATATATATATATATATATATATATATATATATATATATATATATATATATATATATATATATATATATATATATATATATATATATCTGAGTGTGTTTGTTAATAAAGAAGATTTTAGTAAGTAAAAACCTTTATAAATGTTTATCCAAAAATTAGGAATATAGCAAAACTATATAAATATGTTTCATTTTTTTACAGTTAAATATGGTGTTTCATAAAAAAAGAAAAACCGATAGACCACCTAGAGGTAAAGTTAATGAGAATGAAATACGAGCAGCTGTTAATGCAGTTCTTAATGGTGGTACAGTTTATCGTGTATCTAAAGAGAGGGGAATCAATTTAATGACACTTATGAGATATGTAAGGAAGTGTCAATTAAATACAAATACAGTCTGCAAACCTAACTTCATTACCATGCAAATCTTTACCAACAAAGAAGAAACGTCTTTATCAGATTATCTTATTATCTTATATAATTGTCAACCAAAATAACACCAAAATAAAACTTGCCTATGAATTTGCAATGACTCTTTCTAAGCGCATTCCTAAATCGTGGAAAAGTTAACAAACTGCTGGGAAACAGTGGCTTCGTAGTTTTATGTTACGTAGGAATGATTTATCTTTACGAAATCCAGAAGGTACTAGTGTGGTACGAACAACTGTTTTTAAATTTTATACAGTCAGAGAATTTTTCACCAATCTAAAAGATGTTCGTCTATGACACAAGTTTCAGCCACAAAACATATATAATGTTGATGAGACAGGTCTCACAACTATTCTAAAGCCAGTTAAAATAATTGCTAAAAAAGGAAATAAACAAGTTGGAAGGATAACTTCAGCAGAAAGAGGGACATTGGTAACAGTTTGTTGTGCAGTTAATGCAATAGGAAACTTAATCCCTCCATTTTTTATTTTTCCAAAAGTTCATTTCAAAGGAAGTATGATAAATGGTGGTCCACCTTGATGTGTTGGGGTTGCAAACCAATCTGGTTGGATGAATGTTGCAACGTTTTTAGAGTAGATGAAACATTTTATTCAAAATGTGAAATATTCACTAGCTAATCCAGTGCTTTTACTTCTTGACAACCACGAAAACCATGTTTCAATTGTGTGTTTAGATTTAGTTAAAGAAAATGGCCAAACTATGCTGTCCTTTCCACCACATTGTAGTCACAAGTTGCAGCCATTAGATTGGTCAGTTTATTGGCCACTGAAACATTACAATGCAGCCTGTGATAATTGGATTGTATCTAATGGTATAGGTTCAGTTGTAAGGAAAGCCTATGCACAAGCTTTTACTTTGTCTAACATTTCTGCAGGATTTGCTGTGGCAGGAATTGAACCCTTTAATCCTAAAATATTTTCTGATAATTAGTTTTTGTCTTCATATGTGACAGACTGTCCAGAACCTATTACTGCTAACCCATTTCCAAGTGTTGTTGATCCAGTTTCTGCTATTGTTCATGCCCCAGCTTTTAATCAATCATTGATGTCATCCTATATCTGACCCTGGAAGACAACTATCCAGTGTTTCTAATATCTCTCATCAAGCAAGTCTAGAAAAAATTAGGCCATTTCCAAAAGCTGGATCATGGAAATCCATTAAAGGACGCAAACATCAGCGTACTAGAATACTGACAGACACTCTGTTCGAAATGAGTTAAATAAACTTCAGGAAATAAAAAAAATCTCAGTCAAAAAGAAAAAACATGAAACGCAAAATAAGATCTTCATGACAAGGAAAAGAAATCTTGAAAGTAATGAAAATAAAAACGTTGAGTCTCAGTAAAAGATAACATTTTTTTCATTGATTTTTTCTTTTTTTAAGAAAGATAAATTTGTAGTAAAATTAATAATAACTTTATTAGTTTTTATTATAGACATTGTTTTGATGACTTAAAAATTATTCTTATACATTTATGGTATAAATTTGATCTCGAATCATACATACATAGGATCAAGGGTGCATATAGGTAGGATCAAGGGAGCATACTGGTATGCACCCATGATCTCAATTGAGCGTTCTTAGTTTTTATAATTTTAAATTTACTTAAAATGTTCTGGTAAAAAAATGATTATTGAATTATAATAAGGTATAAAATTTGCTATTATGTACTGTTATTTTAGAGATCAAAATAAAAACATATAAGTTGGCCTGATAGATTTTTAGGATCATGGGTGCATACTCTCCCCTAAATGTTTTTCGAATATATAAATTCAAGGAGAATAAAAATTAGGAGTAAGAGCGAAATTTTTTAACTGCATTGGATATGCTATAATGCATTTGGATTTTAGCAACTGTTTAAAAATAATTTTTGTAGAAGCAGGCATTGTGTCTTACAAAAATATAAAGTAATTATATTATTAATAATTAAATACATTATTAACTAAACAAAATTTAAAATAAACTAAAATGAACGGAAAGCTTAAATAGATACTATAATGCAGGCCACTATGTACCTTCGTGTGCGCATACGTATTACAAGCAAACTTTTTACTGATATGAGATCCTTGTATGATAAGGATTTGAAAAATGACAGATGTCACTCGATTTTCATTTTGCATAACAGGTGGTATGACGCAACTGGTCCCTATAGTAACTAACTTTTTTTTTTTGGAAATTAAATTTTTTTATACCAATCGAATCACCATAAATCAGGTATTCAAAATAGTATAAAAAACATATGTTGAAAATTTTTGCTTAAAAAGATACAGGGGTAAATATGTTTTTATCAAACCGAGGGTAAACCGCTGCTTTGTGATTTTTAATAATTTTCAAAATACTTTCTTGAACGCAGATTTTATGTTTTTTGATTTATTTATTTTTATTATAATTTAAGAAATATTAGTTATTATAAAATTTATATTATTTAAAACAAATTTTAGACAAAAACAATTTTTTTTTGACCTCCGGATTTTTTCAACATTATACCTGTTTTGATGAAATAGCAAATTTCATGCTTGACGATTGTATTATTTCGAATGTTTTGATTATGTTATTTTATTTTTATATTATTAAGAAATGGAGGACGAAGAACGAAAAAAAAAGAAAAGAAAACTTGTTTTTGACTTTACTAAATGCATTGTTTGCCAGGAGGATGATCGTAAAAAAAAGTATTTCTGTTTACTTGATTTCGATATTTATTTGGATATTATTTCCTATATTTACGTAAAATTATAAATTTTTACATCTTTTATCCTTTAAAAATACGATTTGGTGCATTTTAAATACGTTCTTTAAGTAGTTTTTAAAAGTGTCTCCTAGCAATTACTAAATTTATTTTCAGATTGTAAAAACCAGTTCGCGTGACGCTTTGGAAAAACTAATGGTATGTTTAAGGCAAAGGTACTCCTATCATGACCCAGAGATAATAGATTGATACCAAAAGTTAAGAGAAATACCACGCGAGGAACTAGATGAAAAAGGTGTTTATCACTCAGAATGTTACAAAATGTTCACCCACCGTAAAAGTTTGCAACGTTTGCTTGAATAACACAGTATATTTATTGCAAGCAATCCTGAAACTAAACCATAGTAGACATAGATAAATCAGAAGGTTCAAGTCAAATGTCAAAAGGTAAAGGAAAATTTCTCCGTTCAAAATCTCAAGACTACAACAAAGAACTTTGTATAACTTGCCAATGTAAAGGCGGTGAACTTCGGAAAGTTAAGTTTACAGATACTGGGTTAAAAGTTTAAAAGTTTTCAAGATGCTTAATGATCATGAATTCTTCTTTAGAATGAACATTATCTCAAATCCTGATGACGCTGTTGCAAATGATGTTAAATACCACTTAAAGTGTTGGGTAACAGTGCAGAGATCTGTTAAACGCAAGAAAAAATTCAAGAGTTGGATGATATTGGGCGGGTTATTGCAGATGTAGAAATCATTGGTTTAGTCCATTTGAACTTAAAAGAAGATGGTTTTGCTATGGATATGAACAACATTTATAAAACTTGCAATAACTTAATTGGGAATAATGACCAGACTGAGGTTAATTATAAACGTTACTTAAAGAAGCTTCTACAAGATAACGTGCCAGGAATAGTTTTTTCAAGACCTCCGTACCGTAGAAAGTCTGAATAGCTTTGCTCTTACAAATATCAAGCAAAGGCGGTAGATAACTTTTAAAACAATCCGGGTGATTAAATAACGCAGCAAAAATAATTCGGAAAGAAATCCTTGAGCAAAGAAAATGGAAGTTTGACGGAAATTTCACTGGTTTTGATACTCCAACGTCATTATTTTCTTTACTAAGGTGGGTTTTACTTGGACCAAAATAAAATATAGACTCGTGTTATGTTGAAAAAAAAATCCATCGATAGCCGTGTTGATAACATTTTGCAAATTATTGTAAATAAATCAAAAGCAATTAGCAAATCTTACATTACTCAAAAAACGGATAATGATTTCAGAAATGTTACTGAAACACCTTTTTCAGTCGGCCTCGGATTACATGTGCATAAAGAAACCCGTAATAAGAAGCTGGTGAACTGCTTGGCATACCTTGCACTTTCTATTTCCTATGATAGTGTCATAAAGATCGAAAATGGTTTAGGAAACGTTGTTATTGAAAAGATATCAACAAATCAATATGCATTTGTACCTCCTAATATTCAAATAGGAATGCCATTGCACTTTGCTATTGATAACATTGACTTTAAGAACGACACTGCTGACGGAAAATTTGAATTTCATGGAACCAAATGTGTTAAATGTGAACCAAATATTTAAAATCTCTAACAAACTCAATCTCTGACTTCAAGGTCAAGCTTTTCAATCACTTGTTAATAAAATACAAATAAATATCTCTGCAGTCAAACTCCAAACTCCCTATAATATTTATAAATTAATAATCCTCTGGCTTTTCATTCTCCTATCCTCAATAACTCTAAATTGTCCATCTATTTATCAAATTCTATCTACCTAGTCTTTTCTTATCCTTAATTCCTTGGTTATTTATTCTACTTTTCCTTTTATATATTTATTTCTTTCATTTTGCTATTTTTATTGTTAGTATATAATCATTGTTATTGACGAGGATTTTCTTGAATCTTTATTTATCGTCATAATCAATTTATTTTCTTTCATTTGTCTCTATTTATCTTAACTTCATTGTTAATATTATCATTGTTATTGACGAGGATTTTCTTGAATCTTTATTTATCGTTATCATCAATTTATTTTCTTTCATTTCTATTTATCTTATTTTTATTGGTAATATTATCTTCGTTATTAAAGACTTTTTATTATGATTATTCTTTTTTATTATGATTGAATTTTATATTATGATAATTGTTCTTATCATTATTATTTTGTTTTCAGATTATAGTAATATTAACTTTTTTGTTATTTTTCATTTACTTTTTATTTTACCATCAGTATTACTTATTATTGCTATATATATATATATATATATATATATGTATATATATATATATATATATATATATATATATATATATATATATATATATATATATATATATATATATATATATATATATATATATATATATATATATATATATATATATATATATATATAAAGATTTATTGTTTATTGTTGTTTTAATTGTTAGTAGTATACTGTTAAAATTTCCCGTACTTTTACGGAACTATTTTCCGTTATTCGTACATAAACTACCCATTTAACAAAATTGAACGGATATTTTCCTTCTTTTTAAAAAAAATTTGAAAACACGGAAATTTCCTTTGGAAAAAGGTTTTACTATGGAAGCCAAATTAAAATTCTAGCATATCAACTTGTCACATTTTAAAGCAATTTTAGATTTTTTAGCTAGCGTGTTTTTTAAATATAACCAATATTGTATGTGTGTAAGTATAACCAATATTGTATGTGTGTAAATATAACCAATAGTGTATGTGTGTCTTATATATATATATAAGACACACAAGGCCGGCGCGATAGGGGGTGGGGGGGGTCGACCCTTTCGATATAGGTTAGTCGGCAATCTAGACAGTCGGCAAATTTTGGAAAACGAGGACCTTTTTTTTTTTTTAAAGAAAGAGAAGGTGTACATGCATTATCACCAAAAGAAGGTTTACAAGATCAGAAAAACTCTACGGATAAAATTTTTTAAAATAATTGAGAAAAACTGGGCAAAAATCAACTGATAAAAAACTATTCTACTTTACTGATTATGATCGAAAATCTAAACATATTTACATAAATAGATATCAAAAAGCACTCAGAGTGCCCGATTATAAAAATTAAAATTTTCCAAAATCCATTATGGTACGGATTGCAGGGTTTATTTAATAATATAAAAAATATATGAAGGAACATCCTTCAAGAACTTATAAATTAGGCATTGATGTCCAGGTCTAAACTTTGTAAACTTATTTATGA